ATCTTCTGCATCTAGTGCCATCAGAACGAAGACCAGACATCGGAGCTTGAGAAGTGTGTCGGGGTTTTCTCCAGCTTCCTTCGTTAGGGCCGCGAGGACTCTCACCAGATCTTTGTGGGGTTTGGGTGGTCCGGCAGGTCTCAAACTCCAGTTCATGATAATACAAACCACGATTCCCGCTAAAGCAGCCACGCCAAGGAGAACAAGGAACGCAATACAATCCTTCTCAAACATAGTGAAGAAGATCGCAAACATAGCACAGAACAAAGACACGATGGAAGCCTCGTCGAAGATTCTCAGAGCTCCAAACTTCGGCCTCAGTGCAGCATCGAAGATTGACAAGGTAGCATACACCAGACCAGCCCAGCCAACGACTTTTGTGAGCAGTGGTGTAGTACTTGCCGTTGACGAACATGGAGACGATGGCAGTGTGATTTCCTTTGGCGTCAGTGGGATTGGTAGTCTGAAGGTTGAAGTAGAGCAAGATTATGGCAAGGAGCCGAAAACCTAACTCTTTGGCTAAGGTGGACGCCGTGACGTATTCAGCATTCGTGTAAATTCCAAAATAGGTGGTAACGCCACCGAATCTCTCCACGAACGAAACAAAACTGTCCATCTTTGAAGCCATCGTTTACGAAAAAAAAAGAAAAAGAAAACGGATGAGAATAGCTGGAATGAGAATAGCGGATGAGAAAAACGGATGAAGTAATAAAATGAGTTTTTGTGACTTTATAATATGGCTAGGAAGCTTCAGGAAGCTTTATCACGTTATACAAATTCGGTTAAGTCCGGTTTAGCTATGATATTTTCATGAGATTTTTTTTTTCGTCACTTCTATTAAGCTTTTCTCTTTTGGGGCCAATTCTGAAATTGCTCTCTCTTACTGAATATTTATTTATTGCAAAAAAACAAGAAATATTTTCTTCGGTCTTGTTGGGTTTTTGGTGATAATATTGATACAGTAACTGCATTGTGTAGTACCATTTCAGTCTGTCTTTGACCGCGACAAATATTTATATGTTTTGAAACTATTTTGGTGCCTTAAATCTGAGCACTTTTGCTCTTTCGCTTCCCCTTGTTTTTACTATTTGGTGAAACGGGAAGAAAAAGAAAAAAATCGGTCAAGGCGACATTTGTTTTTCATTTTTTTTCTTTCTTTATTACATTTCAATTTTTAAGTTTTATTTTTGTTTCGTCTTTAAATTTTGAAGCAACACTTTATTGTTTTGGATTGTTGTTACATGGGTTTTGTTGTTCTTATTAGACTGTTTCTCAGGAAAACAAACAAATATTTCTGTTTTCTACTATTGTGTGTGTTTTAGAAACAAATAATTTTTAAAATCTTTGAAATTGTGTAAGCCCTATATAATTATTTATGGAAAAAAAATCAGAATACCCTTTTTTCTTTTCTTTTTTCCTTTTCTTTCAGAAGTTAGCATCTTCAGTACAAATACATTTTTTAAAAATAAATAAAAGAAAAAAAGATTTTGTCAAATATGAGATTCTTTCGGTTATAGAGAAAAGGCATGGAATGAAATTTAACTATTCGCATTATTAATCGGAGTAGGAGGACTCCTATACGAATTCTTTATAGAGAAATGAAAGCGGCGGATCATAGCTAGTGACTTAATTGTTATCATTCTTTATACAAGAAGTGAAAAACAGTACAGGTGTTGGGGGAATAGAGTCGTAAAAAAATGATGTGCATTAAAGTGGCTCATGCATGGCCATAAAACAAAGATTTCTTGTGCTGCATGAACCTTACAACCACATTTTGAGCCAACACCACGAGCCAGCCAAATAAAAACGAGGGACCGCTAGACAAAAATCAAGTGTGTGCAAGCTAGTCTTGCGTTGAACCGTAGATCTAGTACGCTTGATCCAGGCCTGTAGTGGATCCTAGGTAAACAATGTTCGAATTCATAGCATCAGAGACCATCTTATCTAGGCCCATAAAAAACTGATGATAGATCTTTCATTATTAGGATGAAGATTCGAAGGTGCTGTATCTACTTCATACTGTCATGTAAAGGAATTGTATCTACTTCTATCTTGTTCGATTTTCGAAGGTGTTGCCGTGTTGGTGGTATGAAACTATGAATCCATCCCCGTCACCAATCAAAACACACCTGGTTTTAATTAGTACACTTTTCTCGATATTGTCAACTCTTTTTCCGATCACCAGTAAGATTTTTACTCATACGGTAACCTTCCTTGAGATCCAGAGGCTTTCAGAGGCAAGAAAACTTTCGGCTCGAAAGATGATGGGCTATCAAATCGGCATTTAGTTTGGTTGAATAATAGATATATATTATTATGCGTTATATGGGCCAAACTAAAAGCCCAAACATTTTGGGAAACTTTTTTTTTTGGTGCAAAACATAAATACATATAGTTTACATGATTAGCAGAAAATGATAATGCAACAGAAGTTAAGTATTCATCTAGTTATATAATAATTTTTTTTTAGGTTAGATGTGATATCTAATAGAAGAAATATGTTATTTTTGCCACACACAAAAAACGTAAAAATCTGACCTCTTTTAAAAAAGAGGATGATGGGCTGTGTGTTGAAATTAGTGTACTATGTCAACCATTAACTAGTTCCATTCCACTTGTTTCAGTTCCAAGAAAATGATGGGAGAAAATCTATTTATTTTAAAATAAAATAGAATGCAACTTCCATCATAAATTATATATACTCGATCTGAACACTTATAAGTTGACATACACAAAAATATTTTTTTTTCCCTAAGAAAAGATTGATATATGAAACGAAACAAAAGGAGGGGATACCAAGAATTTGTTGGGATCGAACGAAATGTCATTGTTTAGTGTCAAGTAATTCACTGGGATAGTTAGATATTTTTAGATAGAAGAGAGCCATTGCCTCTCTACGAACAAAAGCCAACGTGTTTCAAACCTTCGGTTCACACGTACACATATATGACTTATATCTTTATCGTCCAAAGCCATCCAAAAAACACACTCTTATTGGTCGACAAATCTAACATTTAAATATCGAAATTGTTTTAATTTGGTTCACATAGCTTGATTGCCGCCTTAGAAGAGTAATAACATCTTGGGACATCTCCCGTATGAATGGCGTGTGAAGTTAAAGAGACGTGTGTTTTTCATGATGGGATCGTGATCCTTAACCGCTGTTCTTCTTTATTGTTGTATGCTTCTATATACATATAACGAATTAAAAAGAAAACGTTTATGTATAGACCTAGCACATAGCTCCGTGTTTTATTTTATGCATCCACTACCAACAACTTAATTTGTGTGTATCGATGGGGATATTGAAAAACGAGCTTCAAACGAATATTGGAATGGAATGTGTAGGAACGTCGAAAGAGAGAGGAAGAGACTGTTCTTACTGAAATTAAAGTACGAAATTGAGGTGTGACTGCATGATAAACCTAAAGAAATTTAAAAAACTCACAATATAAATACATGATATAATTTTATTTGAGATGTGTGACGCGTTTTGATCAAGGTCAGAGGCCAGTTTGCTTTGAAATATATGAATATGATGATTGAATATATATTTTACAAAGAGGTGTGGTCAAGATATGATTAGAGGTTTAGCAATTTCGAGTATATATAACAAAAATCTTTTAATATATTACTTGATTATCCCGATCAAAATTATTGTTTAGATATTCTCAAAAATTTTAATTGTAAATAATTTTTACTTGATTATCCTTTAAATATATATGTAGAGGATGATTATCCCCCCGCCCCCCAAAAAAAAAAATCGAATAAGATAAGAATCTTTGATAAAGAGAAGTGAAGATATATTGTTGATATATGATCTTATCAAACACTTTGGTGCCGCCGTAGTTATTAGTTAACAATATATAAGGGATTTGCCTCACTATTAATTAATATCACCCAGAAACGAAGCTATGAATCCTGCTACCGTCGATGAATCTCTGAGCCAGCGGCGTCCATGGTGGTGAGTCTCATCATCGAGTTTTCTTTCATCTTCTAACTTTTTCAGTTAACTAGAAACTAGTAAACAATATACATATAGCAATATATAATTGGTGGGTTTGTATGCAGGCAAAACAAATATGTAGTATACGACATTGTCATGAGCGTGCTCTTGATAGGCTTCAATGTTGCAACCTACTTGTATATAAGACATTACAAGATTCCCTTAGTTGAAAAAAAAAAAACCATATGATGGAGGTTTTGTGTGGCTTACTACTGCTTTGGAATCATTGCTGGTGTGGGTACATGGGTCCGCATGTTTAAGAAGAAGTTCCCCGAACGTCCCTTCGAAGGCGGTGTCATGGCTTTTGCTCATATCCTTGGCGTTCTTGTACTCGTTTATTTCCTTTATTGCATTTCTCTCGTTTCTGCTCTCATTGTTGGTATACCTTGTTTTTTTGTGGTTTATATCCGTTTACATTTATTCCTGTTCTCAATATTAACTACAAATACCCTAATTGTTTTTTCTTATTTCCCTTTAGCGTTTCTCTTGTTTTTTTTTGGGTATATTATATCTTTTTAGTTTAATTTTTGAAAACGAACGTAAATTGAAATTACCTCAGTATGGATTCGGAAATGTTCATGATTACATGGGCTTATAAATTGAGCCGCATTTAACACTAAACCCACAACACAACACACATAAAAGCGAATGTGTTTATTTATAATCTAATTTTTAATAGAAGAAAAAAGCAAAAATCGTAACCCACAGCTGAATACTAATTTTCTCATTTGTAAAAGCAGTACTATTATCTTTGAGAAGGTTTATTTTTACTAAGAGAGAGTATTGGACCTATTGGTTGATGGCCCACCCTCTCTGTTTTTTACCCTTGTCGTAGTTGATATTTTTCTACATATTAGTTTTCAACTTTCACGCGAGAATATTTAATTATATTACTTAAGCGAATGATTATTATAGAATAGGCAACATCGATAATTTATTTGCTCCGGCTCTTCCTCTCACTCGGTAACTAATTAAGCAATGGATGTCCCACAGGATGTTGCCTGAAGACCTGAGGAAACGTATCAGAAGATATGAACAATATAGATGGCAAGAGACTAGAGGAGTCGAAGAAGATACCCTTCTTCGTAACCTCCCTAAAGACCTCAGAAGAGACATCAAACGCCATCTCTGCCTAGATCTCCTCAAGAAAGTAAGTTACAAACTCGTCTCTCTTCTTCCTCCGTTAAATTTCAGCTGAACTAAGAACCCTACGTTTATATATATGATTTGTTTTTGGTAGGTACCTATGTTTGAGATAATGGATGAGCAATTACTTGACGCTGTTTGCGATAGGCTAAAACCGGTTCTCTACACGGAGAACAGCTACGTGATCCGTGAAGGAGATCCGGTTGGAGAAATGCTGTTTGTGATGAGAGGAAAGCTTATAAGTGCCACCACTAATGGAGGAAGAACTGGCTTCTTTAATGCCGTGTACCTTAAGGCAAGCGATTTCTGTGGAGAAGATCTTCTCACGTGGGCATTAGATCCTCAATCTTCGTCTCACTTTCCCATCTCCACGAGAACAGTCCAAGCTCTAACCGAAGTCGAAGCCTTTGCTCTTGCAGCAGAGGATCTCAAGTCTGTCGCTTCACAGTTCAGACGCCTCCATAGCAAGCAACTCCAACATACATTCAAGTTCGACCTCTCTCTCTCTCTCTCTCTCCAGCTTCTCTGGGTTGCTTTCGATTGGCTAAACCGGATCTTGATTTGATCTACAGGTTTTATTCGGTGCAATGGAGAACATGGGGCGCATCTTTCATACAGGCGGCGTGGCGGAGGCACTGTCGGAGGAAGTTAGCCAAGTCATTACGCGATGAAGAAGACCGGCTCCGAGACGCGCTCGCTAATCAAGACAGAGAACGCCAACGCAAACGCGATGAAGCAGCTGCTTCTTCGTCGTTGAGCCTCGGAGCCACGCTTTACGCGTCGCGTTTCGCCTCAAACGTGCTTCACAGTCTGAGGCACAATATCTCCAACCTCCCTCCTCGGTACACTCTTCCTTTGTTACCTCAGAAACCAACCGAGCCTGACTTCACCGTCGATCATACAAGTGACCCTTAGAACTCTTACACGTGTCACACAGGTAAACAGTATCTACTCGTACATGTGTAATGTATATATTGGTCTGACAAAAAAGGAGAAATCATATTGTTACCACAGATGGCCGTCAAACCTAACAATATCCATATAAATAAATAACAACAAAACTTCCACGTACTTATACATTCCATGAAAATATTTAAGAGACTTTTTGTTTGCATGACTGAGTGTTTAGCTTAACTTTAGTATCATGCAAGTCTCGCTTTAGTAGATTATCGATGAATGTTGTAATGTTAATTCAAAATACATTTTCCATGAAAATATCTCAATACGCCGACCAAGGTCAATTATAAATAATAAGAAGTGGGAAGAATTAGAACTCTCTCGTTGACGTTATCAAATATCAACAGCCTTATATCCAATTGCAAAAAAAAAAAAAAAAAAAAATATCTACAGTCTTTCATGCAAATCGAAACTGTAAAGAAAACATCGATAGTGCCAAGCACTAGCCCAAGACCGTAATACCTGAGAGATCCGAAAGAAACAAAGACCCTCTAAGTATGAATAATAAGATGAAAGAATACTTAGAGAAAACTTGAAGGAACTTTAGAGAGGATAAGAGAACTTATGAAGAACACTCTTTCTTTATTTGTTCAACTTCTCTTGTTTACAAATGATGGAGTAGTGGGCTATTTATAGGCTCCACTTATTACAAAATATCTTACAAACATTCTCCTAATCTCTAGAATTTTCTACAATAATATCTAGAATTTTAACTACAACATCTAGAATTATCTATAGAATTATCTAGATATTTAACTAATAGAATTCTCTAGAACATTTAAGAAAGATGATGATTTTTAGTGATGTTTCTAGAGATTCTAGAACTTGAGCTTAATTTTGGGCCTAATCTAATAACTAATAATTATTTTATAAACCCAAAATTAAGCTTAACCCAAAATCAAGTTTAACTTCAATACTCCCCTTTAAACTTGATTTTGTCAGTCATCCCGAGCTTCGAGCGAAGTAACTCGAACTGACCTTTTGGTAATGACTTGGTGAAGATATCCGCAACGTTGTCCTCGCTTCGAACTTCCAAAGCTTCAATTGTCCCATCAAGCACCTTCTCTTTTATGAAGTGATGCTCTAACTCAATGTGTTTAGTCCTCCCATGGAACACCGGATTATTGGCCAGCTTGATCGCACTTTGATTATCTCCATAAATTGCAATTGGCTTATTGATTGGCTCGAACAGATCTTCAAGGAGTCTCTGAAGCCAAATACACTCTTGAGCTGCTAGAGTTGACGCTTTATACTCTGCTTCAGTTGTAGATAACGACACCGTTGCTTGCTTCTTACTGCACCATGAGACACTTGTGTTCCCACATAGGAAAACATAGCCTGAAGTTGATTTCCGATCATCAAGATCTCCACCAAAGTCAGCATCCGTGAAGCCATAAAGAGAGACCTTGGCATTATACTTGTACACCAGACCCATGCCAAGAGTTGTCTTCACATACTTCAATATCTTCTTTGCCGCTTCTAGATGTGGCTTCCTTGGTGCCTGCATAAACCGACTTACAAGACCTACCGCGAAGGCAATGTCAGGTCTTGTAATGGTTAAGTATAAAAGACTTCCTACAAGAGAGCGATAAGGCCGAGGATCAGGTAGTAAGGACCCTTCATCGCGTTTAAGCTTTATGTTGACATCCATTGGAGTAGAGCGTGTCTTTCCTTCGTGTACTCCAAACTTCTCAACGATTCTTCTTGCATAGCTTTGTTGGCCGATGAATATTCCACCTTTTACCCTTTCCACCTCCAAACCGAGAAAGTTGTTGAGCTCTCCCAACTTCTTCATCTCAAACCTTATCGACATATCCTCTTGTAAACGAGTAATTTCTGCATCATCATTCCCGGTAATTATCATATCATCCACGTAAAGGAGAACTACCACGTGGACTCCTCCATTCTTCTTGAAGAATAGACTCGGATCAGAGTTTGATGCCACATAACCGCAGAACTGAAGAAACTGAGCAAGCTTTCCATACCAGGCTCGTGGAGCTTGTTTTAACCCATACAAGGCCTTCTTCAGCTTACACACATAATCAGGATGCTCTCGTGATATAAAACCAAGTGGCTGCTCCATCAGGATTTCCTTGTCAAGCTCTCCATATAGAAAAGCATTCTTCACGTCTAATTGCCATAACTTCCAACCAAAACTTGCAGCCAAAGATAAGAGAGAACGTACCGTAGTCATCTTGGCTACAGGGCTGAAGGTCTCATCATAGTCTTCTCCATACTTTTGAGAGAATCCCCGAGCAACCAACCTTGCTTTGAATCTATCAACGCTTCCATCTGTTTTGCGCTTGATCCGGTACACCCATTTACAAGAAACAGGTTGGGCATTCTTGGGTTTTGGAACCAAATCCCAAGTTTCGTTCTTCATGAGAGCATTCATCTCCTCCTTCATTGCGTTTTCCCACTCGTCAACACCTTTTGCTTCATCATAAGATGTTGGCTCATCTTCATCTAATGGAGCTGCAAAGTAGCACGAGAAGGTAGTAACAAACTTTGGATCTCTGAACCGAGCAGGTTTAATGATGTCCCTTTTAGGCCTTTGACTAGCCGTGGAACCATGATGTTCCTCCTCATCCTCCTCTTGATCAGTGCTCCCCCTTTCACCTTGCATCTCTTCTTCAGGACCTTTTTTTCCTTACTCAGAGCTGGTTTATCACTCTTGGAGGAACTCCCACCTTCTTGCTCAACTAAAACTTGAGGTGGCCCATAGAATGAGGAAACTTCATCAAAAACAAACATCTCGAGACACTACGTACCTGTGTGTCTCTGGATCCATACACCTCCACCCTTTTCTTTGTTCGTCATAGCCAACGAAGATGCACTTCTTCGCCTTTGCCTCCAACTTGGTTCTTTGAGAATCAAACACATGGACGTAGCAGACTGATCCAAATATCCTGAGATGTTTCACTGACGGCTTCTTCCCATGAATCATCTCATACGGAGACTTCATGTTATTTGGGCTGAGTGGCATCCGATTTATGACGTACACTGCGCATCTCATGCCTTCCGCCCACAAGGCTTTAGGCAGATCCTTCCCATATAGCCAGCTTCTGCACGTCTCAGTTAGATGTCGAATCTTCCTTTCCGCTACTCCATTTTGTTGAGGTGTATACGGACAAGTAAACTCTCTCTTTATTCCATGCTTTTGACAAAAAGAGAGAAACTCCTTGGACATGAACTCCCCTCCATTATCTGTCCTTAAGGTCTTGATTCTCCGACCCAGCTCCCCTTCCACGGTAACCTTGAATTCTTGAAATTTGGAGAATACTTCTGATTTTTCCTTCACAAAGTATACCCAAGTGTGCCGTGAGAAGTCATCAATGAACAGCAACATGTACCGAAACCCGGAATATGAGGGTGTTCTTGTAGGACCCATCAAATCACTATGGATCCTCTCCAACAGAGCACTGCACCGTGAAGTAGAATTGTCAAATGGAAGTCTATGTGATTTTCCATATTGACAACCTTCACAAAGCTTTCCTTCATCTTGGATCTTCAGCTTCGGAAGCCCATTTACCAACTCCTTATTCACCATAACCTTTAGCTTAGTCATGTTTATATGACCAAGCCCGAGCATGCCATATAAAGGCATTGTCGTTTGTACTCATCTTCTCCACGTATGAGTTGGACGCAGATAAGACATATAGATCCTTAACCCGCGATCCGGTGTGAACCACATCCGCCTTTAACTCTTTAATATTCTTCAAGAATTTGACGTCTCTTGGGCCAAATAAAACGTAGTTACCTGAGTCTACTGCATTCACCACAGAGAGAAGATTCTTCCTTACTCCAGGGACATGGTATACATTCTTGAGGGTGATAGGGCTTCCATCTTCTCCTTCAATGACAACAGTCCCTTCCTTCTCGACCCGGTGAACTGAATTATCCGCGGTAATTATGGCTTCTTTTCCATCATGGCGCTGAAGACTAGAAAATAGCTTCTCGTCTCCGGTAATATGGTGGCTACAACCCGAATCCACAATCCAATCATTTTCAAGATTTTTAGTTGTGGATATACCTGAAGATGCAGCCTCCACCGTGAAGCATTTCCCCCATTCTTCGTCTTCAATATGACCTTTTGATTCTGCCATATTTGTCTCCTTCAGCTTGACTCGACAATCCTTTTTGAAGTGCCCAAGCTTTCCACACCGGTAGCACTTGAATCGCTTCTTATCTCCAGTAGAAGATCCTTCCGGTCCATCGATGTTCTTTGCACCATCGTATTTGGATTTGGCTTTGAAGTTGTGTTGCTTCCGAGCTACAAAGGCGCTCCCCGAGTCATCATGGATTTTGACTCCTGCCATTTGCGTAGCTATTGACTCTTGCGAAGCTAGCAGGTTCTCGAACTCCTCCAAGGAAGGTTGTGTAGCCCATCCTTGAACCGAAGTCACAAACGGTGTATACTCAGGTCGTAGACCTCGAATAATATACCGTTTTAAACGTGCTTCGGAAATTGACTCCTCCGGATTTAGAGTATTAATCTCTGAGCGAAGATTCTTTACCTTGATGAAAAACTCTGAATTGAAGACTCCCCCTGCTTTGCATTCGCCAACTCGTTCTCTAACAGTTGTAGCCGAGCTTCATTCTTCTTGTTGAACAACTGATCTAACGCCTGCCAAATGGAACTAGCGGATGTGCAACTTGAGACATGCTCAAAGACTCCCGAGGATATTGACCTCTTCAATGCAAACTCCGCCTTGGCATTCTTCCGTGTCCACTCCTTTGTCGCTTCCGCTGTCGCAGCAGCTCCCCTTGGTGGTGTTGTGCTACTGCCGCCGACGACATCCCATAAGTCCTCACTCACCAAGTATGACTCCATGCATGACTTCCATAACCGGTAATTGGATTGGTTTAGAATCTCCATTCCCAACCCAACAACGCGACCCATTGACTCCATACTTAGAGTAAATCTGAGATCTCAATTAATCCGATCTTGAAAAAGA